GTCGACCGACAATAATGTTCCGGTCGTCTGACCCTCAGTCATCGGTCGACCGTGCAATGTAAATCGGTCGACCGAAGACGACTGTCTGCAGGGTCATGAAAACAACTTCTCTGGTTGGTTGACCGACGGGCAAGGCCTGGTCGACCGAAAACATGTACGTACAGGAATTTGATATTAGTTTAAAATCTAACTTTGTAAATTCAAAAAAAATATTAAATAAATTACAAAAATTATAAAACTTTGGGAAATGCTTATAAACATGATTTTGAACATGTTAGAAAAAGAATTTTTGAAAGATCATTTTCCAATAGTAAAAACTACTCATTTTTCAAAATAGTTCAAAAATAATGTTTTTGAGAAAGTGTGTGTATAAACCCAATGAGCTTCAAATGTTATCAACTCAATAACTTGTCTACATTAAGCACTAGAGAGAAAAAAAGATGCAAATATCTCATATATATGAATACAATTCTTTGGTCTTGATATTTGCTCATATTTAGATGAAGCTTCTCTTTTGTAGTATGCTCTTGAAAGCTTTGCTTCACCATATTGCCTCCACCTCCTTGGATATCATCGTTGCAGCTCATATTCCGTCCAATCCTCCAACTTTGGTACTAACTTGCTTGATAAATTGTAATCTACACAATATAACTCAACAAGCAATTAGCACCAATAATGGTGTTTGTAAATCATCATCAAAACAAGAGAACAAACAGGTACTTCTCGACCATCCGACGAGTAGAAAGACGACGAAATGCCTCGAGCCTCAAGTCCCCTCTTGTGCACTATTGACTAATTACCTATCAATAAATGTCATTAAATGCATTATGGGTGTCATCAATAGTATTTATGACACATCGAACCACGTCAATACCGCAAACCCTCTATCACTTCGCATTAAATACCGAAGTGACATCTTCTCCACTCGTTGGCCGACACCTGTAAAGTTGAAGCTAACATGGCCGTCATCCCAAACTCGATCGAAGTTACCCTTCTACCCTCCTGCTACTGTTATCAAAAGAGATACTATTTTCCATTACAAAGTAAGTTCTTGACTACTACTCTCTATGCTAAAGAACTACTACAGTCCATTTTACTTCTCCACACAAGTAACTCACTGACTTGATCGTCGGAGGAACAACCGGGGAACCAGACCCCGCCCTTTTATGATTTGTTACTAACGACCAGCCATTCGGAGAGTTAGAGGGCTTCCATCAATTCAATTCCTTTTATTTGACTTTATAATTTCATACATCAATAATAAGGATGCAACATACAAAATATTTTTTATAACAATCCATCAAATAAAATGGAAAAGGAGAAATTTTCAAAATAGACCAATTTAAAACTTTATTCCCCAATTTTGACCAAGTCTAAAATATTTATAAAAATCGACCATGTTTCAACCACATCAGCTGCGCGGCTAGAAACTGGTTCGATTTTTTAAAAAGTAGCTATCTAAATAGTCGGGTTGCCAACACCAACTGATTAGAAGCCATATCTAACTAGTCAGGGTTAGCAGCACGGACTATTTAGCACAGCTCACATAATAGTTAGAGTTGTGAACCCCAACTATTTTGTACTGCTCACAAGATAGTCGGGGGTTGGCAACCATGACAATTTCACATAGACTTCACAGAGACTATTTTGACACTTAATTTTTTTTAGGGTCTCTTAGCTGGAGTCTTTGTGAAACAGCCGAGATTGCCAACCTCGACTATGTTGTAGATAACTTAGATTTTTTGCTCTTGATATTGAGAAATTTTTTGCTAAATCACATTCAATCCATAACCAATTTCGATCACAAACAAACACATATATCAACTCATATCATGAAAAAAAAATCATCTTAACTAAATGCAACAATCACACATGATAAAATCAACAACCACTAACAAAATAACAATCTCAATGAGACTAATATATAATCTTGACTAAACCCAATTCAACAAATAGAATGAACTCCTCTTTTTCCTCTTCTCTTCCCTCCCCTTTAACGTTCCCCCAAATGAAGGTCTACTTAGGTATTCAAATTGATCCCGCTCCATTTTCACTCGGAGATGAAAGAAACCATCAGTCTCAACTCCTAAGTCTAACATGCATGAGAACTCTCCTAGAGATTTGAACATTTGGCCCGAACTAAACGAAAAATTTTCAATAGACAATTCTACCATTGGTTGCATCTTGCTCAAATTAAATATAATACTCATATGATGATCATTTGATATCTCAACAGCGGATGTTCTGTTAGAAGTTATGGGCCAGTTGCATATTACTTTCAGTCAGTATTCTCGTGGATCAAATTCAGTAACTTGGTGTAATTCTTTAATCTGTTCATCAAAACTACATGATTCCTAGATCATAACAATGTCGTTACTCCTCCAACGTACATAGGCATGTTATTCATTGCATAGTTAACTTTTTCACTGTAAGAACAAATAATAAAAATCATACTGTTTAACCTCTAAAAAAATAAACTATATTATTTTCAGACAATCTCATAATCCATGTATACATTGTGAAAATTTAAAAAAATATATGAAAACCCTAAACTTCATTAAAAAAATAAAAACCCTTAATAATTTAAGAAAACCCTAGATTTATATGCAAACAATCTCATAATCCATATATACAATGCAACAATCTCATAATCCTATAACTTTAATTTTAATCGAAACCTTAAAAAAATAACTGAAAACCCTAAATCCCAATATGAGCATTCTGTATGTCCTAGAATTCCAATTTTAAAGTCTACCACACACAAAGACCACAATCACCACAAACATATCTAACTCATACCCAATTTCAAACCCTAGAATTTTGGTTTTGATGAAAATCCTTGATTTAAACTATTGGGAAAAAAACTACTAAAAAACTCTTCTCTAATTCACTGTTGTCTTCAACAATTCCTCCGAAACTTGGTAGCATTTTGTTGGGATCATAAAACTCTCGAATCACACTAAACGCATTACTAACTCTCGAACCACATTCAACGCATCACCTATTAACAGTTTTTTGGAATATCAAGATGTTGACAGGAAAGACAAGCCTCTTAGGGGTGTTTGTTTCAAATCCCAAAATTTATGGATATGGATTTCACATGAGATTTGAAATCCATAATTTTTTTGGTGGGTTTTGGGATTCCTAAAACTTTGTTTATTTCATCAATATTTTAGGATTTAGAATGCTATAATTTGTAAATTCTTGTTTGTTTCAAACTCAAATTGTAGCATTACAAATTTTAGAATTTGAAATCCATAGTTGTAACGAACAAGTTTTAGGATTATCAAAACAATAGATGGTGAATATAAGAACTTTGGCGAGCTTACCTCCCACAAAAAAACAAATACAATTTTACTCAAGCCTCTCAAGTTTTTATTTAAGCCTTCCAATTTTTTTAGTAATTTCTGTAAATACTAGATGAACTAGAATTAAGATAAGAAATTTTTACTTGCATCGCTTCGCCAGAATTACTACAATTTGTGCTTAACTTTCCAAAATTTACTATTTTTAAATAAATCCAACAAATATTATTTTTGACCATCAAGCTTATACCCAACATAGTCTCTCTCCTTCTCATTTCCTTGATAATGCTATAATTTGACCATTTTTTCGGTGCTCAAATTCGAAGAGTCAGTCAATTCCACACGAACCCATCTTTCCTCTTCACTAAAAAACCTACCCTCCTCTCTCATCATAGTAATAAATTCCAAACGTTCAATACCTGCCATTTTTGAACTTTTATCACAATCTTCAACAACAAAATTCCTTCACTTTTCGAGTTCAAAATCACATGAAACAAAAAACGTCCAAATCAGTAAAAGATCAAAAAAAGGCGAGCCACACAGTGGAGAAATTCCCCCATCCGAGCTTCCTCTGAGCGATGTATCGGCCGCCGGCGAACTGATCGCCTATCCTCACCGCGTGGTGACCTCCTTTCCTATACAAATCCTCACCTGAGTCTTAAGCTTTTTTTATTTTTAATTTGAGAGGAGAGAGGGTCGGTTTCTCTCTTTGGATTTCTCCTTTCTCGTCGGTTGAGCGCGGGTAGGTATTGGTAGAGGCGGGGGAAGAAGCGGTGACGGGAACGACGATTTTGGTTTCGGGAGCTGAGGAGGAGATGAGCTGGACTGCTTGTGTCAGAGATCCAGCCCAAATCCATGCTCAAAAAGAGGATTTCATATATGCTAAAATATAATAGTTTTTTTATGTTTTTGGGATTCAATATGCCAATTTTTTTTTTGAAACAAACATGATTTATGGATTTCCAAAACCCAAAAAAATCACTTTTTACATCCCAAAACTTCAAATCTAGCCTATATCCCAAAAATTTTTTGTAACAAACACCCCCTTAAACAGTCAAGACTATCATAGCTGTAGCATACTACATAGCTAATTTGAGTATACTTATAAAAAACGGACACGTGGAATATCTAAAGACTATCTCGATTTGAAACATAAGGGCTTGTTTGGATTGAGGAGAATGAGAGTGAAGAAAAGTTAGGGGAACCATTCACCTCCATTCACCTTGTTTGGGAACACTTAGGAGGTGAAGTTAATTCACCCTAGTTCCCCTTGATTCACCCCCTAATAGTATAAAAATTGTTACCCCCCAAATTGGAGTGTAACCAAGGGGAAGAGAACTCCCTTCCCTTCCTTTCACTCAGTTTCCCTTAACTTCCCTTCACCCCTACAAATCCAAACAGGCCCCTAGGCAAACAAAAAAAAAACTTTTTATCGATACATACACTGATGATACTAAAATTATATATAAATAATAATTTTCTTGATTTTTTAAGAACAAAACAAGAGGACCTAAAATGTTTCTTTTCCTCTCTGAAAAAAAATATTTAAATTGTCACAATTTCACCAAATATGATAATTACTTATATTTAGATTTAGAATTATGGAAAGTAAAACAACAAAAGGTAAGTACAAGGGAAAAAAAGGGAGGCGGGGTGGGGGGTGAGAATCCATGCCGTGGACCTATTATTGTGTAGTTGACTAGAGATACCACTACACGCCCATACATCTCCCCCTCCCCCTCTACGCACAAATCCTATTTTTCCAAATTATTTACAAAAACTAAGCCGACTTTTTTTTATTTAAATGTATAAATCTCAGATCTTTTAGATTCTCGTCCTTTAGACGAAAATCTTTTCGAAATTAGGGTTAGCGTCTTCCTTCGATCTGCCTTTGGGTTTTGATCGCTCTGATAGATTCACAAGATTCGATCCTGGAATCATGGCGATGCACGAAAGGAAGACGATAGATTTGGAGCAAGGATGGGAGTTTATGCATAAAGGGATCACGAAGCTGAAGAACATCTTGGAGGGGCTCCCTGAGCCCCAATTCAGCTCCGAAGATTACATGATGCTCTACACGTAATTTCTTCGATTTATATTTTTAGGGTTTTTTTGTCGTTTTCTGTTGTAAATGAAGGATTTTGCTGTTTTTGTATTGGATCAGGACTATTTATAATATGTGCACTCAGAAACCCCCGCATGATTACTCGCAGCAGCTTTATGATAAATATCGGGAGTCGTTTGAGGAGTATATTACGGCGACAGTAAGAAAAAAATTCTTCTTTGATCATTAATGTGGCTTCTTTATAGTTTTGCTGCAATTTGGGGTATTAGTTTGTGTGAATCCCTAAAGTTTCAATTGAATAAGAGTGGAATTTATCGACATGGTTGTTTTCGTGAGTTTGCATGATGGGTTTTATTTTTTTATTATTTTACTTGTTGTGTGAGGAAAGAGCCATTTGGATTTTTTATAGTATTTTGGCCATGGAAGTTGGAGTTGATTTTCGTAGGCATTATTGTAGATATTTGAGGCTGCCCTTACATGTTTTTCTTAGCAAATAATTTCTATTACGAATAAAAAGGGTCTTAGGTAAGTAGTAGCTCAGTTTCTCCGGTGCTGAGGTTACTACCCTTCAATACAGTATAACAAAATCATTAAATTGAGGAAATGTTTTACGATATGCCTTTATAGCATATCCTATTTTTCCATATTTTTAGTTGTTGTTTGGTTTTTCTAGGCACTAGAAACACTTTATTAATTGCATTATGGAACTAAATTTTACTCATTCTTATGTGGTGAATAATCTCTTAGTTCAGTGGTCCCATTTGTGGGATTCATGGGGGCGAAGTTGTTAGTCTAAATTCATGATTTTATCGGAAGACGAGTGAGAGGATTCTGAAGATTAAAATCTTTGAGATGTCTAGTGTCAATTGTTTGGTTCTCGTTACAACAATAAGGACAAAGTCTTTTATGTCAATATTTTTCGGGTTGTTTACATGAATCCTATTGTTTGCTTCTACTGCAACCTTTTAAAGGCAGTTATAGTAATGTACAGTTGAAAGAAATTTACTTAAGAGACTCAATTTCCTATTTGGGTATCAGGAGAAATAGAAGAAGGATCCAGGGGTTTGGGACGGGTATATGGTAATTTTGGTAGTGATTGAAGAGAAAGGAGTATGTGGTGTCGATTCCCTTGCATGCAGCTGCATCCAGCTATTTGTAGCGGCTAAATGCGAATTTGGAAAATGTTTACTTGTCCACTATGATGTGTGTGAGATGATTTTTGAAACAAGGGAAAATCTTGATATTTATATCCCTTGCAGTTATCGTCTAAATTGCCAACTGGGGTTACTACATAAAGAAACCCTTAAATTGTCATTTCCAAGACAAGCCAAGTGATGGAGCTTATCATAATAACTTTTTCCCTCTTCCCTTTCTCATGTACCTATTAATCTTTGTTATAAAAACCACATAAATCTCAAACTTTGAGTGAGATCTAGAGAACACAATTATAACCGTGATAATAACCTTACATATCCGGGTATATTGTTCCTGTTAAAAGACATGCCGTTTTCTCAATAAAACACTATAGAAGATGGATCAGTCTTCAAATGGTTGGTAATATTTGTTATCTAGAGTGGAACGGGGCTATCAGTTATTTGGTAATTGGAGGGGGGTTTGATAGCAACAATGACAATCTGCACTCTGCAAGGATAGATTTCATGTTTGTGAAAGTATCCAGTGAAGCCAATGTACCACATCATTACGCTTATTCGGCAACTCAAACCGATAATCATCTGACACGTGTCTCTCTCTTCAATGTTCCCAGAACTTAACCGCGGATGTTAGCTCATAAAATTCCCTTTCTTCCACTTCTTCGCTCTGTTCTATATTCCTCTTCAACGTTGTCCTTTTGTTGATAGATCCCAACGCTTGGAAAAAGGATTAAGCATATAAATCAGTAGTGAACTATTTAATAAAAATCTAATAAAAAATAAAAACTTTACATCATGAAATTAATCTTGTATAAATTTATTTTCCAGAAAGAACTGCAAATTAGAGTCTTGTGTTAACTATATAAACTGATAAAAACCCAAATTTTCTCCAAGGAAAATAGTCCAAGACAAATTCCACATCTATAATACTCAGATTATTATGATTCAAAAGCTGGAGAGGGAGTTACCACGAGGAGGATGTGATCCCTGTAGGAATCTTTTAGGATGGGAAGATTGAAGATAAGAAGAGGGGTGAAGTGTGTCTGTGAGCCGAAAGCCACATGTCAGATGATTATTGATTTGAGTAGCAAATAGGCGTGATGGCGTGGTACCTTAACTTCACTAGGTATTCTAGATATATTCTCTTCATGTTCATGTATACTTCAAGCTTTTTGTTTTTCTTTCTTAGTTTGTCATATTGCTGATTCTGCCGAATAAGTTAACTAAATCTTTTGAAGGTCATCAAATCACAGGGGGTATTGCATTTAATTCTAAAGAGGTTTTGTTACCATTTTCCTTTGAAATTGACATAGACAAGTTACAAGTATGTTATGATCCACATGCTGTTGCTTCTTTTTCCCTATAAATTACGTCAGTGTTTTTTTCGGTTTTCAATGTAATAGTGAACCCAGATGCTCAACATGCATTGTTATTTTTTAGCAGCTGTGCCAATTAAGACATCAAAGCATGTGAATAATTACAAAGAAAATGTGATTTAGAGGGAGGGCTTCAGATCTATGTCAAAATTTTGTTTCTATGTAATTAAATGACAAAAACATCATTCTATAAACATATGATTGGTAGAATTGAATTGTTTTTAATCTCAACATGCAAGTTCATAAACTGTTCAATGCTGTTTAGGCGAGAGAACTGTATGTCTTTAGTGCCTTACCTCGTAGATATCTGCTTTTTCAACCTTTTGTTTTTTTATGCTGATGGGTTTGTCAGATCTTCATAGAAGGCTAACTTTTATTTCCATTTATTACTTTGTAGAAGTCCTGTATAATGCAGCAGCATATCTTGCTGTTTAAGATGCCTCTTTTCTCTTCTTACTTAGGTATTGCCATCTCTAAGAGAGAAGCATGATGAATTCATGTTGAGGGAACTAGTGAAAAGATGGATGAATCACAAAGTTATGGTGAGGTGGCTTTCTCGGTTTTTCCACTACTTGGATCGCTATTTCATTGCTCGGAGGTCTCTTCCTGCACTCAATGAAGTTGGATTAACCTGCTTCCGAGATTTGGTGTGTTAGCATTTTGAACTGGTTTCACGTATTTCTCTTTTAGGAGCAAGTTTTTCATTGTCATATTTCTTTCCTTAACCACTTAAAACTTGTCTCTATTAAATATAGGTTTTTAATGAGATTAAAGTCAAAGTCAGAGATGCTGTGATCTCCCTGGTAAGTGACTGGAGTTTCCTTCTAAGTGTCCAGCATTTGAGGATTTGATTTCTATTAAGTTAGTTTCACTAAGCCCAAACTTTTAATCAGATTGACCAAGAACGCGAGGGTGAACAGATTGATAGAGCATTGTTGAAAAATGTTCTGGATATATTTGTTGAAATTGGGTTGGGGAGTATGGATTGCTATGAAAATGACTTTGAAGCAGCCATGTTGTATGATTCTGGTGCCTATTATTCTCGTAAGGCATCAAATTGGATTCTAGAGGATTCATGCCCAGATTACATGTTAAAGGTCTTTCCTCTCTCTCCACACAACACATTTTCATGCACATCCATACATATATACATGTACATATTGTATATGTGTTTCTTTTGCTAATCATATGCATTTCTTGCTAAGCGTCTTTATTTTTTTAACAGGCTGAGGAGTGCCTAAAGCGTGAGAAGGATAGAGTTGCACATTACTTGCACTCTAGCAGTGAACCAAAGTTGTTGGAGGTATTTTTTTTTAATAAAGGAATTCATGCACTTTGTTTATTTGAAAGGATTTCTAGGTCTGGTATAAGGTAAGAAAGAATGGATGAATATTTTAAATATCTAACTTCTTGTATTTTCAACTAGTTGCGACCATTTCACCATAAAATCTTGTAACTAAGCTGACATGATCTTGATGCTCTTATATTGCAAATTGGTAGAAAGTGCAACATGAGCTACTGTCGGTGTATCTAACGCAGCTACTTGAGAAAGAACATTCTGGATGCAATTCATTGCTTCGAGATGACAAGGTATGAGTCCATGTTCTTACAAAGTTTATAATAGGAAATAACATGTGATTACTTCTTGCTATCTAATGCCATTTTGCTCTAGGTGGATGATCTCTCAAGGATGTATAGGCTCTTCTGTAGGATTCCTCATGGCCTTGAGCCTATCTCTGTGATGTTCAAACAAGTATGCATTATTTCTGATCCACTGTTGTAAACTCAATTAGGGGATTCGTCTCTTGTTTTTCTTGTGTTTTTATTCATTTATTTCTCAATCTTATTCTTGGTGCAGCATGTTACTGCCGAAGGTCTAGCCTTAGTCAAACAAGCAGAAGATGCAGCTAGCAACAAGAAGGTGATCTATTTTACACCTTTCACCAAGCTTTGCTCTATCTAGCCAGTTTATTGGAGGCTCCTATAAATATTATCTCCTAAGTGCACTTATCAGTCTTATGAAAAGATTAATCTGATACCCTGAAGCATTATTTCTTGGTATTCTTCACTATGATTATAGTACATTCCTTTTGGATTACGTTCTGTTTCGCCTTTTGCTCTCCTATTGAATCTGCACAAATATGATGTCTTGAACTATTGGTCGATAGCATAACAAAAATGTTAGCGATGACAGCATTTGAACCTAGATTTGCCTAGATTGTGTGATTTATTCTTTTAAGCAAAGCACTTGACAATTGTTAACACACCAAAGATAGCAATGGAGCTCAAGTAACTATTAACTACATATGACATGTTCAAGTCAATTATTCTCTGGGTAGAGCTTAGTTTTGCTTAGATTGGAGGTTTTATTCTTTTGAACAAAGCACTTGATTCTTGTTAATACTCCAAGAATAGGGATGGAGCTTGACTTAATGACTATGTGTAACATGTCTCAAGGTCAATGATTCTCTTTTAAGTAGTTAGAAGAAACATGTCTACCATTCCTCTTGTTGCATTACATGCAAGCCTAAATTTGTTTATACAGTTGTTTATAACTGTATATGATGCCAAATCCCTGATGAACCAATCATGTTACCGATAAGAGAAATAGCTGAACTTGACTGAGGTGCTTATCTTTGTGCAGACAATGTGGTTCATCATTTCTTTCACTAGTATTCTACCCGTGCGAAGCACGAGTGGGTCTTGGTATGTAGAATATTTTGAGAGAAAGTCACCTGCGTTTTGTCAAGTGTGCATCTGTGCTTATGTTCAATGTATATTTTTCCCATTTGAATACCCTGTTTTTTATGTGATTGAAATGATATTTATAAAGCACAAGCTAGTATTGTTATCTTTAGTCTTTGTCTGTGTGCACTCTATTATGTATATATTTGTTATTTTTTTAGTTTACATTGTTTTATAAGTTAGTAGTGCTTTGTTGTGTATCTTAATCTCTTGTACATATGTAGTATGACCATGACATATGGGCACAAACAGTAAAATGGTTTAGTAATAGAATATACTAGTGTGCACCCCGTGCAAAGCACAACCTCCATTTTTTATTTCTGCTACAGTAATTCTGTATTTAATTACAGCTTTTGTAAGTGCTAGAGTAACATTTTAAAAATGCTACAACATCTCGCCTGAGTTATAACAATAACGCACAATAATGTTTTTAAACGCTACAGATCCTGCTTGTGCTACAATATTAAATGCTACAGTATCTACTATAGCATGAATAGTGAATTTTGGATCCTCCTGATATATATATATATATATATAGAGAGAGAGAGAGAGAGAGAGAGAGAAATATGAGTATGCTTGGTACCAAGCATAAATTTTGTGCTTAGTAGTGAGGTGGCACAATCCTCTCCATTCATTCAAATTGGAGACCACATTCACATGGATTGAGGAGTGCATGGGGATATGCAACCATTTGAATGAGTGGAGAGTAGGGGTGTTAACGGAGCGGATACGGCTCGGATATGACACTTACCATATCTATATCCGCTTACCCATCTCGGATACGGATACAGATATACGTCGGTAAGAAAAATTCATATCTATATCCGCCAAAATCGGATACGGTTACAGATATAGATGCAGATATATAAACGGGTATGCATGTGGATACAAAAAGGATATGAGAAAACTAGATAGTATTTAGAAAAATATAGTCATGTGATACAAAAAGATTTCGTTAATATGTTCATTATGATTGAAAAGCTAAGATTAGACATCTTGATCATCCAAATTAACCACAAATCCATAATATAAGAATCGAAACTATCGTAAGAGTATGACTAATATGTATTCGGATATTTTCGGATACGGATACGGATATTTCACTACAAAACCATATCCGTAACCATATCCTATCGGTTATGTTGGGGAGTAACCATATTCGTATCCTAACGGATACGGTTACGGATATTTCCTCGGATACGGATACGGTTTGGCACCCCTAGTTATCGCGTGTACAAGGGAAGAACCGACGACAGTTTAGTAGCATTCGTTACTCGCGTAGCATAATCTAAAATCTTACAGCATAAGAGGAGAGCTGAGCTGCATCTACTGGCCTCCGATCAGGTATATTATGTAGTCAAATCTGTGCAGTTTAAACCTTTTTCCCTGATGGGAATTAGCAGAACTGGCTCAAAAAATTATCACGCTTATCTCCTCGCATCAGAGAAACTTGAAGCTCCCATAATAATCACATTCTAATATTGTCTCTTGTACGATTTTTTGTCCGTGATTAAGAATTGCAAGCTTTCTTTAGAGCATTATAAACATTCTCCAGGCTTACTTCTTGTATAAGCACAACCTTCTCCCTCGACTTGGAGGGCCACGCCGGTCGACCGACCAGAGCGAAAACTTCTTCTCAGTCTCCTGCAGTGCACGCGGTCGACCGGCTCTGTCACTGCGGTCAACCGCACAGTCTTCTGACTGTTTTTTTCATCTTTTCGATTGCAGCTTTGGGTCTACACACTTAGACTAACAATCTCCCACTTGGAGACCAAAGCGTCATCAACGAGCTCACCCGAACTCTCCCCTTCTTCGCATGTATCCTTTCCCCCGAAAAATTCTTTTTTTCAATCAACGTCCCGACGATCGCGCCGATCCTCGTAGTGTGGCTCCGCCTTCGTCTTCTACTCGTGAAGGCCAACTGAAGTTGCGCACAACTCCAGTTTCTCAATGGTGACTGCCTTCGTCAACATGTCCGCCGGATTTTGACTCCCCAAAATCTTCATTAAATGCAACTTTCCATCCTCGATCAGCGAGCGTATAAAATGGTATTTAACGTCGATGTGCTTCGTTCTGGCATGATATACTGGATTCTTGGCAAGATGTATAGCGCTCTGGCTATCACAATAAAGAACTCCTCTCCCTTGCTTCAGATCCAACTCTTCCAAGCACCCGTTCAACCAGATCATCTCCTTGCTTGCTTCAGTCACCGCGACATACTCAGCCTCGGTTGTAGACAAAGTCACAATCTTCTGCAGACGTGAGACCCAGCTCACTGCTGTCGACGCTAAGGTATAAACATACCCCGTGGTGCTTCGCCTCGTATCATGATCACCGGCGAAGTCCGCATCCACGTATCCCTGCAGCACCAACTCCTTCCTCCTGAAACATAGTGGGTTGTTCTCCTCAAGTACCGCATTATCCACTTTACGGCCTCCCAATGCTGCTTTCCTGGATTGCTTGCAAATCTGCTCACAACTCCCACTGCATGGGCGATGTCCGGCCTCGTGCAAACCATCGCGTACATGAGACCCCCAATGGCTGAAGAATATGGCACCCTGCTCATATGCTCTCTATCTGCATCTGTCTTAGGCGATTGTTCCTCAGATAACTTGAACTGACTTCCAAGGGGTGTGCTAACAACTTTAGCATTCTACATGTTGAACCTCCTAAGTACCTTCTCAATGTATTCAGCTTGGCTCAAACTCAATGTCCCTTCAGCTTCATCCCTACTGATTCGCATCCCTAGAATCTGCTTCGCTGCACCCAGATCCTTCATTGCAAATTCCTTTGCTAGCTGCCTCTTCAAACTGTTTATCTCTTCTAAACACGGTCCTGCTACCAACATGTCATCAACATATAATAACAAAATAATGAAGCTGGACTCGAACCTTTTGAAATAACAGCAATGATCCGAATTGCATCTTCTGTAGCCATTGTTCTGCATGAAGTTATCAAACTTCTTATACCACTGTCTCGGAGCCTGTTTCAAACCATATAAGCTCTTCTTGAGCTTGCACACCATCTCTTCCTTTCCTTCTTCAATGAAGCCAACAGGCTGCTTCATGTAGATTTCTTCATCCAAGTCACCATGAAGAAAGACAGTCTTCACATCTAACTGCTCAAGGAAGAGGTCTTCTGCAGCTACCAAACTCAACACCACTCTGATGGTTGTGAGTTTCACAACAGGGAAAAATATCTCCGTATAGTCCACTCATTCCCGCTATTGAAACCCTTTCACTACTAATCTGGCCTTGAATCTCTTGCTTCCATCACTCTCCTGCTTGACCCGGTAGACCCATTTGTTGTGTAAGGTTTTCTTCTGCGCAGGTAGCTGGGCTAATTCCCATGTCTCATTAGTGAGTAGAGAATCCATCTCCTCCTGCATCGCATGCTCCCACTGCTGAGATTCACTCACTTGCACTGCCTCTTCATAACACTCCGGCTCTTCGCTATCTGTTAAGAGTAGATAATCAAGTGACGAGAGGTATTTGGGATTTGGTTTGGGTACCCTAGATGACCTAGGCTCCACGCCCTGGGTAGTAGTTTCTGCATCTGTAGTCTCCTCCGTTCTATGGTCAGAACTGACATTGTTGCCCCCATCTGGAAGTTCCTCCAAGTCCATGTACTCGGATCCACCTGTATCCGTAGTGCTGCTCCCACTGCTTTGGCTATCCTTGGCATTGTCCCTGTCCTTGTACATCACCTCCTCATTGAATATCACATCCCGGCTCCTGATGATCTTCCTGTTCTTCTCATCCCAAAGACGATACCCGAACTCATCAATGCCGTATCCAATGAATGTGCACTTCTGTGACTTAGCTTCTAGCTTGTCCCTGACATGGTCACTGATATGAACATAAGCCACGCAACCAAATACCCGCAAGTGTGAGAGATTTATCTTCTTTCCACTCCAAACCTCCTCTGGAATCCCAAAATCTAATGGAACTGATGGCCCGTGATTAATAAGGTATGCTGCCGTATGTACCGCATCCGCCCAAAATGTCTTAGGCAGACCTGCATGTAATCGCATGCTCCGCGCACGCTCTGTCAAGGTCCTGTTCATCCTCTCTGCAATGCCGTTCTGCTGCGGCGTCCCTGGAGTAGTCCTCTCTAAGCGAATCCCATTCGTAGCACAGAACCTCTTGAACTCCTCCAGCTCGTATTCTCCACCAT